CATTGATTTCTTTCTTTCATGGCCTACTTTTATTTAGACCCTCCAGAAAAACGCGATTCTGCGATCGCAGAATACAATAAATAAACACTGAATGTGTTTAATTGAATAGGAAAGGGGTTTAACGTTAGTGGCAGGTTTGTGTGAGAGAGAATAAATAAGACAGCCCAATATTTTAAAAAACATCTATTATTTTTCGCAACTTTCCGCATATTTCGCAATTTCACCGCATAAAATCACATAAAAACCCTGCATGTTTAATCGCATAATCAAGGATTTTAGCCTGCATAATCAAGGATTTTAGCCCGCATAATCAAGGATTTTTGCCCGCGTTTTTCTGGAGGGTCTATAATTTTAATAAATAAATAAAAACACTTTGTTTAGTTTCGGTAATTATTTTGCCGGCCCATCTCTCCCCCATTCTCATTGAGTATTTTACAAAGAGTGAAACAGCGCCCCTATCGATGTTATGATGAAACAGTAGATTGCACTCTGTTGAGAGAGGAGGCTAGCCGAAATTGGCTTCCATTGGTGAAAAGAAATTGAGGGATTGACCAATCAGATGAGGCTCACGTCATGCCTCACAATCCAATCAAATCGCATCAACTTCAGTTCGTACTGTATCACTGCCCTTAAAAAGTAGCAAGCAACTGAAGCAAGTGCAATTATGGAGGGTGGAGATTTGGAATATTTCATCAAAAATAATTGTACTAAACTTCCGCTACAGCAGCAACTAAAAATGAAATCTGATGACAGGTCAATGCCCAAACTGGAGCTGTGTACAGAGAGGAAAGAAGGAGCGAATCTAAAACTTTAAATAATAAGCAGCGGATAACATTTGCAATTTCATGTGGCCGGACTGGGTCAGTTTCCAGGGCTGAGTTTTAGTCCCAGTCCGCCCCTGCCCCTTGCCCACACACTGCTTTGCTAGCGCGGTATGTTGCGTGATTAGCATGTAGCTTAGCCACCAGTGCTCTGAGCCCGAACATTTCTTTCCAGTAATCGGATTCTCCTACAATGGCAAACTATAAATGAGCACTTCATGTCGTTTTTGTATTCCTTCTGCAGGTACATACAACCACCAGGCCGCTGGTATTGCCCTCCACCCCCACGAGTGGCGTAGCGCCAAGCAGCAGCGCAGCACCACACCTCCACCTGGACGCCGGAAGAACTACCCGTTCAGTGACGGAGGCTTCAGTGAGGATGACTGGGACAAACCACCAGGGTAGGACTGAACTTAGCTTGCTCTTTTTAACTATCATTTTTGTAACCTTAAGGCTTTAGCTCACAATTGTTTTGTTCATGCCAACACGATTTTGGATATTTTTGTTCAGCAGGATATTAATTTTTCTGTTCAATCTTGCATCATACAGAACATTCAGGTCTGAACTGATTTAGATTGTTGCCGAAGAAAATATGAACCAAAGTTGAAGCAAATGGGCACTGTTATGATCTTTTTAAGCCTTTTTTTCTAAACCTCCAGATCGGCAGAATCAATTATTAATTCATTTCAAAATTTAATTTATTTTATTTTTAGGGAAGATTTCATTCCAATTGATTGCACACCGCCTTTCACTGTCCCGCTGCTCACAACATAAGGAGGAGAAAAAGGGTTCTTACACTGTTCCACAAAAAAGAAATGAACATTATTATTAGATATTGAATAATTATGAATCTAATGTGTTGGTACAGAGCCAAAACAATATCAATGTATCACAATTTGCAATCTCTGAAATTAATCCATAGTTAAAATTATATTATTATGTAATGTTCAAATAATATATTAACATTAACATTGTACAACTAAGATGGCGCCGCAGATGGCGCCGCAGATGGCTGCCTCGGTGTTTTGCACTCTGTTTTGTTTTGCGCGTTAATTCAGTGTTTACATACAGTACACCGAACTCTTTCACCAGGGAAGAGCTCATAAACATTAGAGAAACAACTTCAGCGGATTACTTTCCTACTTTTCTCTGCTCTTCCATGGAATTATTGGACATTCTTATCAATAGTACCCTCACGTGCATTCGAGCACTGAAACGCCACAGGAGTCGGAGACGGGCCGGGACACTCGTGCGCCTCCGGAGCCGGGGAGTTTGCACGCCGCTACCCGGACTATTCCTCTCCAACGTGCGTTCCATAAGCAATAAACTGGACGAGCTTCAGCTACTGGTTAGTAGAAACGGAGACTTTTCTTCATCTTGTGTTTTGTGCTTCACTGAGACCTGGCTATGTGGATCGATTCCGGACTTGGCACTGCAGCTGGGAGGCTTCCAGCTGTTCAGAGCGGGTCGTGACACGGAGCTCTCTGGCAAATCAAAAGGTGGAGGAATATGTTTTACACAAACAGTGGCTGGTGCAACGATGTGACAGTGATTCTGCAGCACTGTTCTCCCACTCTGGAAACTCTTATCATCAACTGCAAACCCTTTTATTCCCCCCGCGAGTTCTCTTCATTCATACTGGTCGGTGTTTACATTCCACCGCATGCGAACGTGCAGGAGGCGCAGCGCACACTCGCCGACCAACTTATCCGAACTGCCTAGTTTATGTTCTTGGTGACTTTAACAAAGGCAACCTCAGCCACAAACTCCCAAAATACAAACAGTTTATTAAATGCCCCACCGGAGAGGGGAATATTTTGGATCACTGTTACACCACCATCAAGGGAGCCCAATCACGCCGTCCCCGGCGCTGCACTGGGCTACTCTCCACACCATGGTCCACACCACCTGATTCCCTGCATACAGGCAGAAACTCCCCAAACTGTGTAAACCTGTAGTGAGGACATTCAGGCAGTGGAGCAGTAAGCTATGGAAAAGGAACTCAGGCTGTTTTGGACTGTACTGACTGGGACCATGTTCAGGATCCGCCACTCAAAGTCTGGATGAATATACAGAGGCCTGTGACTCATACCATCAGCTTCTGTGAGGAAAGCTGTGTAACAACACGCACCAGGGTGAGTTTCAACAACAACACAGCCCCTGGTTCACACCAAAACTGAAACAGAAGTACGTCTTTGTGGCAAAGCGGTGAGCAGATGCTAAACGACAATACTCTGAGAACTCCAACATCAGCTCTCAGCAAACGACCTCTGCTTCTGTCTGGCGTGGTCTAAAGTACTTACAGCACCCGAGCCGATTTCGGCGTCTCGACCAAAGGTTCGGAAGCCCCATGACGCCTTCTCGTTGGTAGAGTGAAAATGGAACGCACACGCTATTTGATCTTTGTTATATCACGCAGTCTGTTCTTCTTCTCATCTGTGTATCGCAGTCTGTCTTCCGTTCGTTAACGTCTTCTTTGAATGACGAATACACACACTTTGGCCCGTCGGCTGAAGTCTTTGCGGTGTGATCCAGCTGCGAAACATGCCAAGACACCGAGACCCGTGAGGCGACGTGAGGCGCACGCTGAGCGATTTGAGGCGACGTTCCGTTGGGGACTTTCTTTGGTGTCAGTTTTGGTGTGTAAGGAGCTTTATGTGCTGTTACCGAAGAACGCAAACGGTCCTGTATCCGCCTACTTTTCTCTTTCGTCATAGCCGTTGTTCACACGAGGCCGTAAGGGAAATGCGGAAACGGACCGCAAACACGATAACGGTGTCCCCCACGGTGGATAGATCTGCAACGAACGCTGGGGGCAAACGGCTGTGTGTACGATCATTTCCTGATAACGATGAAGCCATAGCCCATCTTCCCCACCTCTGCTGCTCACTGCTGTAGCATCGGCTCACGTACCTTACTGACCATGCTACAAGACTGTTAGTGCAAAATCTAACAGCTCCGACTATGCTAACAGATGTTAATGCAAAATCTACAGCTCCTCTACTACCAACCATAAGCACCAGTGGACATGGAGAATTACTGAAACTAAATGTTTCTAATCCCCCGCGGGGCAAAACAGAAGGGCAACCATGCTCTGGGGTCTATCTTCGCTGCTCTTTGGTGTATTTTGTGGCGAAAGTACAGCGCCAGCTTACAGGCTGGCATCATGTGACGCCGCTCTATCGAAATCAGTCGGAAGTCGCAACGTGCTCATTTCAAAATAAACATGGATTTGTGGTAAAACTATTTTCGGGGTTTGGGTGTTTTGGTTTGATTTCCAAATAAACAAAGTCCTGGCTTTCAGAATCTGACATTTTTACTTTCCAAAATCAAAACGATAAATACCATTTTTGAAGCTTGCTATGGAAGATGACAGCTCTCACGCTGCTCTTCGCAGCGCTGCCCCCCTCCCTCGCCGGCTGACAGTTATGGAATGAAAAGCCTATAGTAATCATAGATAACACGCAGAGTCCGTGACAGTTTATTTTCTCTGATTTTTCAAATAACAAAGTCTGTGGCTTTTCAGAATATTAAACTTGTTTCATCCAAATTCAGATGATAAATACAACCTTTTGAAGCTGTAAAGGCATAATTACAAGCGGAGAACGGAGTACGTACGTCCACTGCAGGCATAACAACAGCCGGTGGTTCTTGTGAGTGTTTTCCGGGAAACAAACACAATACACAAACGCAAAAATACCAAACACACACACAGCACACACACACACACTTATAAACCAACATTATTCCTCGCGACCTTCCCCCAGTAAAACGAAAATATTTTTCCTCCGTGCTTTGACACATAATTAGCCGCTAATCAGAATCGATGGATTTCAGCAGAAGAGCAATCCGCAAGACCTGTTGAACTCCAACATTGTGAGAGGGAACAGCCTCTCCATGAGCAATGGGGCTTCAGCTGATCACTGATTACTTTTTTGACGGCACCGGTTGAAGTTGCCCCGTTATCCGGCTCCGATTCAGAGTCAGACAGCCCTGACACTGACAGCACCCTCAGACGCACGGATGAGGATGAAGGACACCACCGAGGATGCGGACCACGCGTACGACCGTGGGCCTGAGACACTTCAGTCCGTACGGCATTATGTGAGCGAGGACAGCGCTCAAGAGCATTGAGAGGGCCCTGTGAACTACAGGTTGGTAGCTGTACATTTAACGATGGAGTTCCCTGTTACATTCCCGTTATATAGTCCCCCTGAGGAGATGGTCAAGAGACATAGACCAAATTAATTAAATGACTAATGGTAAGTAACTCGTTTATATACGTTATTATTATTTAAATTAACCTTGACTGTGGTAACGATGTGTTGTGTTGATAAATTGGGTATGTGTTTAGATATACTATATACAAAAATATTAAAATAATGCTTCACAATAACCACTCTAACACAACTTAAAGTTGATCTAATACTTCATTG